TCCGTTCCGACCAATGGGAAAGGAGCGCGTCATTTTCCTGGGTTCGCGTCATTCTCCTGGTTGGTCGTCATGAGTAAACGCAGATTGGTCGCCTGCAATACATGCTTGCAGTCACACCAACACCACATACAAACATATTCCATACAAAAACCTGTTTACATTGAAACACACAAAAACTGCTTAGTGCTAAATACAAACCTGCAAACATGGGTAAATGGTAGAGCCCCAGCTGTCAATGCATTTCTGGAGTTGCACGACAGATGGGGATCTACCTTTTAATCACCCGAGTGATAGGGAGGCCCAAAAAAAATCCTTGCGCCTCTCTACTTTACGTCTGCCACTGCGTTGGGGTGGAAGACATGATTGCACGCCTTGGGAGGGAGGACAGGGTCCAGGGGGCCTAAGCAAATGCTTTGCCCAGGGTCCAATCAATATTAAATATGGCCCTGCACACAATGCGATACACCATATGTGTGGTTGTACAGGTAATGACTAATCTTATTATGTTTGACCTTGGGTAGAAAAAAAGATTTACCAGTTGTAATGGAACTGCAAGTTGTGCAACCAAATCACTGGTAACATCCAACATTGACAGATGAAGATTGTACCTGTATCAATGCATATTGCTCCGTATGCACAAACCAACCCCTTAAATTGGCTCCCTTTCTGTAGCTAATCATGGGGGATTATGGAGTGGTGCTGGTAAGTTTCGGTCTTTGCTCAGTACTTTTTTTGTATTAATTTTTGCAAATTCCTGTGACTTTGTATGGATTCATTGAGGGAAAACGTATCGTCCTCCTGTAGTCCCAAGAAGAAAGCGCAGCTTAGCAGAGGGGGCCTTGACGGGGCTTGGAGGCAGGCTTAGGTGGAGCAGGGTGGTGATTGACAAATACGGATTCTGGGTAGGCTGATATAAATGTCGACCATTTTATAACACCTCATTACTAATTGACTTACCAGGCTGAATTGGTCCCTCCCTCCCTCCCTCCCTTTAATGTTGGGTTTGATTTTGCCCGCTTGGTCACAGCGGCAGGCTAGTGGAAGGAAAGTTAAGGGGGTAACAGGCCTGCTTAAGGAAGAGAAGAGCAAGAGTAGTGGGTTGGCTGTTTTAATATGGACTGGTTACCTGTTGGTAAGATGTTGGTGGTCTCGAGCTCATTGGTAGCTCAGAACCCATGTGGTGTAGGGGTATCAAGGTATACTCCTGCCAGGATCGTGTGGAAAATGTTGGATCTTGTTTTGTTATACTTACGGATTGTTATACCATGTTATGTTATATATGATGGGTCATCATATTGGATGATTGAGGATTTGGGGGTGGGTAATGACTTTTAATGTTATTTATATATTATTGTTATTAACCCCTTAAGGACTGGACTGTTTTTGCGATGTTGTACATTTGCGACCAGGCCTCTTTTTACACTTTTGTGGTGTATGTGTTTAACTGTAATTTTCCGCTCTCTCATTTACTGTTCCTATACAAATTATATATTGTTTTTTTCAGGACAAAAAAGGCTTTCTTTACATACCATTATTTATAAAAGCTCATGTAATTTAATTTAAAAAAATAAAAAAATATGATGAAAATTTGAAAAGAAAATACATGTTTTTTGACTTTTACTTGAAAAATCTTTTACTCATCTACAAAAGCGAATATAAAAACTGCGAAATAGATTCAAAATTTTGTCCTGAGTTTTAAAATAACCAGTGTTTACATGCTTTTTTGCTTTTTTTTTGCACGTTATAGGGCTATAGGTACAAGTAGGATATTGCGGTTTCAAAACATAAATTTTTTCAAATTTATCAATAGTGACATTGTAACACTATTATCTGTCAAAAATCTCTGAATAACACCCCACATGTACATATTATTTTTAAAGTAGACAACCCAGGGTATTCAATATGGGGTATGTCCAGACTTTTTTAGTAGCCACCTAGTCGCAAACACTGGCCAAAGTTAGTGTTCATATTTGTTTGTGTGTGAAAAAAGTAAAAAACTAAATTGAAAGCTAATTTTGGCCAGTGTTTGTGACTAAGTGGCTACTAAAAAAGACTGGACATACCCCATTTGCAATACCTTGGGTTGTCTTCTTTTGCAAATGGTATGCCATCATGGGGGTAATTCTCATTCCTGGGTTACCATATGCTCTTAAAGGCAACGTAACCAACCTGGCCATTTTCAATGTAAAAATATTTGACCCATATATTTGACCCTGTAACTTTCAAAAACGCTATAAAATCTGTACATGGGGGGTACTGTTATACTCTGGAGACTTTGCTGAACACAAATATTGGTGTTTAAAAACAGGAAAATGTATAACAACAATTATATCATTAAAATTGCTGTTTGTGTGGGAAAAATGCAAAAAAAAGTCACTTTCACTGACAATATCATTGCTGTGATATGTTTTACTGTTTTTAATCACTAATATTTGTGTTTATCGAAGTCACCTGAGTAAAATGGTACCCCCCAAGTACAGGTTTTAGGGTGTCATAGAAAGTTACATGGTAAAATACAGTGCTAGCAAATTAAATTCTCTGGACTTTCGGCCTGGGTTGGCAGGCAGGTCCCTCAAATTGCAATTAATAAAATTACTTAATTATGTAAAAATATTACATAAATACGCACGTAGAATTTAAATATATATATAGATATAAGTCTACGTGTATATTTATATAATTATTTATGTAGTTTTGTATATGGACATATGTATATTTTGTTTTATTTTTATTTATTTATATATACATAGATATATACAATTTCATTCTAAGTGTATTTTGATATAAATATATATATTTTAATATCAAAATATAGTTAGAATAAAAATTCATATAGATATATATTTTTTAATTTTTATTATTATAATTTTTTTTATTTAATTTACTTATTATTTGTATTTTATAATATATAAATATATATATATATACACAATATATATAGTTATTATATATATTATATAAATACATGTGTAATTTAATTATAAGTGTATTTTTACGTTAATATATGTATATATTAATATAAAAATACACTTAGTATGACATTATATCATATATATACACATATATAATTATTATTTTTTTTATTAACATGTACCTTTACTTTTTATGATTTTACACTAGCAGGGAGACTGCCTGTCAGCACAGGCAGTCCCCCTGCAGGCAGACACATGGACACCTATTGTACCCATGTGATCGCTCTGTTGAGCGATCACATGGCCCCAGGGAGACTGTCTGGGCTGCAGGCAGTCTCCCCACACCGGGAGCACCACGATCGACATCGGCGATCGGGTAAGTACATTGCACCGTTAGGACGGTTCAAGACCGTCACTGCAGGTCCCCTCTCCCTCCCATCACCCATTTCATGTTGCTGAAGGGGTGAAAACCCCTTCAGTGACTTACCTGAGACCCCCGCCGATGTCCCTCAGCGGTGGTTTCAGGTCCGCCCACGCTCCTCCCCCGCCAACGTCATCAGGCGGGGGAGGCCGATCGCACATGCGCGGCTGCCGGCGGGGGAGACCTCTTCATAGGAAAGCATTGAAAATTTATTATGAAAACGGCAATATTACAGCTGCAGGGTTAAGGGTAGTAGGCATTAGCACCCAGACCACTCCAATAGGCAGAAGTGGTCTGGGTGCCTGGAGTGTCCCTTTAATGTAGAAAAATGCACTTTGGGGTAAAGAATGCACAAGCAATTTACACACTAAATGGTAGTGAATTTAGGATAACAACACACGAGAAGGATTTGGGAATTGTAATAGACAAAAATCTAGGCAACAATATGCAATGACAATCTGCAGTTGCAAAGGCCAGTAAGGTTTTGTCATGTATAATTAGGGGCATACATTCTCGGGATGAAAATATAATGTTGACCTTTTTTATAGATCAATGATAAGACCAAACCTTGAATATGCTGTGCAATTTTGGGCACCTGTCCTAAAGAAGGCTTTTTGGCACTAGAAAAAGTGCAAAGGTGCACTACAAAATTAATAAAAGGAATGGAATGTCTTAGTTATGGAGAAAGGTTAACTAATTTAAATTGGTTTATTTTAGAAAAACTGCCACTCAGAGGTGATATGATAGCATTATACAAATATTTATGGGGCCAATACCAACCATTGTCTGAAAATCTTTTTATAAACAGGACAATACATAGGACACAAGGTCACACATTTAGACTGGAAGAAAGGAGATTTAGTTGAAGGCAAAGAAAACGTTTTTTTTTTGTTTTTGTTTTTTTTTACAGTAAGAACCATAAGGATGTGGAATTCTGTTCCTGAAGATGTGGTTTTATCTGAGTCTGTACAGGTATTTAAACAGCAACTGTATGAATACTTGCAAAAACATAATATTTAGGGATATAACTTTCAGTTAGTGGGGGAATAGCTTTTTGATCCAAGGATATATCTGACTGCCATTCTAGGATCAAGAAGGAATTTTTTTTCTAGTTTGTTGCAAAATTGGAAAGTGCTTCAAACTAGGGTTTTTGCCTTCATTTGGATCAACATCAAAAACATATGTGAGAGAGGCTGAACTTAAAGGGACACTCCAGGCACCCAGACCACTTCTGCCCGTTGGAGTGGTCTGGGTGCCAACTCAAATCACCCTTATACCTGCAAGTGTAATTATTCCAGTTTTTATAAACTGCAATAATTACCTTGCAGTGTTAAGTCCTACTCTAGTGGCTGTCCATCAAACTTTTTGGTCGCTTAAACGATGCTGGGCATTTAATGCTTTCCAATGGGGAGGTCTAATGCGCGCACGTGGCCATTGCCGCCCATACGCATTAGGTCTCCCCCACTGGTGGACGTCAGCAAGGGATGAGCGTGGGCAGACCCTGACCCAACTCCGAGGGACAAGTGTCTGAGGGGGTTTTAATGTAGGATTCTCTAGTTCCAGGAAAACGGGTTCATTTTCCTGGCACTGGAGAGTTCCTTTAATGGACGCATATCTCTTTTCAGCTATTTAACTATGAAAGTATGTGAATAGAGGCTGCATAGGAGTTATAGTGTGTGTTTAGAAAGATTAGGGCTGTAGGGTGTGTGGGTGATGTGGGCTGTAAATTGTGTTTTGAAGGGATAGGGGCTATGTTTGGGGGTATTGGGTCTGGAGGATGTGTATGTACTGTGTACCAATACACAGTATACTAGTATTGTGTCTTTGGTTTGCTCACCACTAGTCTTTCTTTGTGTTTCTCACTACTAATTGTGCTAGTGCACCATTGTATTGTTCACCACTATGTCTGCTATTATTTTAGCAAATATATTCTGAATAAAGATAGCACTGCCAGATGGAGAGCAAATTGGGTCACAAGGTTGATTCCATGGGAAATAATCACCAGAAAGCCAGAGCACGCTTAGTCGCCATGCATTCTAAGCATTGTAGTTTGATGAGCACTTGACGTGTTAAAGATAGTGATGGTTTACACTACACCTACCACAATGCTGTGGGTACTCATACCGTGGAGCGTAGTGTATGTATGACTTGCAGTGGACAATGATGAACTCACTGGCATGAGAATGTGCTAGATGGTAAGAGCGTTCTTTGGGTAATGAGCTTAAGATGGGTCCCACTTCCCTGTCCTATGTCCTATATATTTTAGATACCAGGTGCAATTGTACTTTCAGTGTAGGGCACGGTGTCCTGCTACAAGCATTATTATTACATTCTGGTGTCACTTCAGGTGCAACTGCTGCTGGTTCCCCTATTTACCACTTTAACATCTTAAAGCATAGAATTTAGCAGGGAGAGATATATTAGCTATAATATTCTATAGTTTGGAAGAGTTTCTCTATTATTTAAATAATTGCGATTACAATAAAAATAGAGATTGTCTTGGAGGCAATAAAGCTTTGTATTTTGAATTATTTTATTAAATAAAAATATAAATATAGAGATATAAAAACTCAATAATCCATTACAATAATTTATAGTAGAGGCTAACGTATATTCTTGCAATATCAATAAAATAGAATAACATACCCTCTTGAACAAGTCAACCTCTCAGTCATGATAAAATGGAGCAGCATCTCAGTGTCCCTAATATTAATAAGTACACATTTTTATACCTTAGATTTTAAATTAGGCCATGTTAGGACCTACATTAACTTGGCAAAGATATGAGGCCATGACTTGGTCATTTCAAATGGGAACATCATATTGTCATGACCCACGCAGCTTATTTATGTTTAGACTAAAACATAAGGGTGCACATGACATGGGAAATTCCCTGACTTGGGGAATTCCACTAACCTAGGACAAGATGGTGTCCTAAAGTCTGAGCACCATATTCACTGAATAAGGGTAAGAGATAATTTATTAAAGAAAGTGTACAGAAAAAGAGTCACTAAATAACAAACTTGTTATGAGAAAAGTCCACCATAAAAAAATTTGTGTTGTTAAAGAAACAATATTTTCACTTTCTAACAAATTGTCAGTTTGCAAAATCTCTTAAAGGCAAAGTACACAGTTTTAGAAATATAACTTTTCATTCGAAAAACTTGGAACATTTACGTATGCCCATAACTAGAAAGCTACTCCTATAAATGTCTACACGTCTCTTACAAAATATCCAAAAGCAGAGTTATTGACCATTTTAGTAACTGAGTTTTGTTGCAAGCACTGAATGTGACAACATTGTATTCTGCTTATGGATAAAAAAAAAAAAATAATAATAAAGTAAAAAATACTGGGAGATAATGGACACCACCATATTTTGTATAGGATGAATCATAAATAAAAAGAAAAATGTGTAAACTGGTAATTTTTCCAATTTAAGGTATTCCCGAATAGTCGACTACAAATTAAATTACTGTTTTAGCCTGCATTTTAAATAATTATTGTGCTAATTGCACATATGAAAAGAACATAAAAGTGGATGATTAAAAAGGAACGTGGGGAAATTATGTATGGCCTCCCATAATCAAGTGATTTTTCACATTCCTTTAAATTTTAAAAGAACACTATAGCTCAGTAATTGCTAACCTTGACACCATAAATTGTTTCTGGACTACATTTCCCATGATGCTCAGCTAGCTTTTAGAGTCTAAAAGTTAGCTGAGCATCATTGGAAATGCAGTCCAAAAACTATTTATGGTATGAAGGTTAGCCATCACTGATATAGCTTCATATTTCGCTATATAATCCTCCATCTGTGAGGATTTGAAAGGGGAATTTTAGTTATCTTTGTTCAAATAAATAAAACAAAATACATTCTCCTCATTCTCTCTCTAACCCCATAATTCTTAATTACCCAAAGGAAGCCCCTTACCATTAATTATTATTATGGAGAGTAGGTCCCTCAATACCTTTAAATCAAATTATAAAACTAGCCAAATATAATATAATATAAATATATCTCAATTCAGAATTGCCTGATAACACCTCTGGAACCTCATTTACATGCAAATAAAAATTGACTACATACAATGCTGTACAGCTTTAAATGCCTGTTTTACTCATCTGAATTCCACGGCTATTGTACAGAAAAACTGTTTTACTCACAGTACTTGTCGTTGGTCCCTGAGGCCTAGAAGCCTGGTTACATGGATTCCATGAAGTACTAAGGACAGCAATCAGTTATGCTCCACAAATCATGTTTTAGCTGCAGCATAATCCCTGTGGCACACATTATATTTTGTGTTTTTTTTTCCATTTCATAATTAAAAATCAGATACATCTATTATTGGTTGTAATGAGAAGATAAGTATTTAGAAGTTGGGTTAAATAAAAAATAATTACAAATTCAGAATGCATAGAGGTGGCCTTATTTTTATTACAACAGTACAGAATCGACAACATATGAGCACAACAGGACCAATAATTTACAAATAAGGTTGAGAGTTTTTAAAAATGCACTTTAATAGAACTCACACTAAGGCCAGTACCCAGATCTCTGTAATAATCCAATCCAATGTATCTCATAGAGGAGCATTGGGGAGCTGATGCACATGCACGGCGAACACTGTATGTGAATTCAAGAAAGCATTGGATTCAATATAGTATGACAGCCACTAAAGGTAGACTCAACCCTGCAATGTAAACATTGCCGTTTATCTTGCAGGGTTAAAAGGACAGGATCACTGCACTCATCACTGCACTCAGAATACTTCATTGAGATAAAGTGGTCTGGGTGACTATAGTGTTTCTTTAACTCATAGCCATACTATAACAAATCATCAATGCTGAGCATTATATATTACATAGTTTACAACGTAACTGATTACTTGCAATTTGACCTTAAATGTTGCAAGACCACTGTGATACCTCACTTTACATTATTCCGTTCAAAGATAGGTCTGTCATCTTATAACAATATATGCAATCATTTTCAGATATTGGATAATGTTTGGCTCTAGGCAAGAGAGCGTTAAGGGATACAAGAATGTAGCAGAGTGATGCATGCTTCTGGAAAGACAGAATTTTAACATTCATTTCCATAAAACAGATTTTTCTATTACACAAAGTCTCTTACCATCGTCTCCTAACAGTTCCAGTTCCAGAATGTCGAGCCTGTTTAAATTCAGCACTAAGGCACTGTACACTAATGCTTTTAACCACAAGACTGTACTTACAGAGAAGGCTGTTCAAGGATAGATGGAATATATAATCTTCATATAATATAATCCATATTTTTTTTATTTTTGAAGTCCCGTAGGCAGCAGGCCCTATTGTTTTAGGGTAACATCTATAAATGTTGAGGAATTATACTTGTTATGTACTGACGCGGAGGTTATGTGGGCTGTGCACAGGGTCAGACAACGAAAAAATTTGGACTCAGAATTTTTAATCAGACAGGCCCAGGGCCGTGTTTAATATTGACCCTGTCCCTCTCCCCAGGCGTGCAATCATGTCCTCCACCCCAACTCAGTGGCAGACCTAAAGTAGAGAGGTGCAAGAATTTCTTTGGGTCACCCTATTGCTCAGGTGATTAAAAGGTAAATCCCCATTTGTCGTGCAACTCCAGAGCTGGGGCTCTACCATTTACCCATGTTTGCAGGTTTGTATTTAGCACTAAGCAGTTTTTGTGTGTTTAAATGTAAACAGGTTTTTGTATGTGGTGTTGGCGTGACTGCAAGCATGTATTTATGTGTAGTGTTGGTTTTTGAATGCAGGGGTGTATTTACATAGAATTTTGGTGTGTGACACAGACGTGTGTTTGTACGTAGTGTTGAAGTTTGGATGCAGGAGTGTATTTGTGTGTAGTGTTAGTATGTGAATGCTGAGATGTATGCACATATTCACACTGAAACACATGCAGACACACTGATATCCACACTGGCACATGTAGACATACAGACACACAACCTGACAAACATGCAAATTCACAGAGACACACATAGATACACCAAAACACAAAGACAACATACAGATACACACAGACTTCATACAGATACACACTAACAGATATACTGGCACATATAGAGACAGACAAACTGACAGACATGCACACAGACATACTGATGCACACTGACAGACATACTGGCACACACTCACCCTGACAAACATTGACATACAAAATTTACACTTTTAAACCCACCCTCCAGTTTCATACCTTGGAGGCTGGCTTTCCTGCTGGTTGCTGAAGGTGTTGTGAGTTAGGGTCTGACTCTCTCGGCCAGTCCCCCTCCACTCTGCTTACTCTTGTTTCTGTCGCGCGCTCCCCTCTTTGTGGGAGGAAGTGACACGCGGCCGCCACTTCCTTCCAGCCAGATGCTGAAATACAAGGGGCCCAGGAGTGACTGGGCCCTGGGCAGCTGACGTGTTTGCACCATGTTAACGGCCCTGTACAGGCCCAGCTAAGCGGTGTAGCCAGAGAGGGTGTGTGTGGATAGGGTTCCCAGAGTATGTATTAGGGATGTCGGGTGTGGTGCAGTGTGGGTATTAACAATGGAAAGGGATCCAAGGTTTGTGAGGGGTGCAGTATGTGAAGTGCACTTCTCACTCCAGCCCCCTGCCCTGTACTTGGTGACAAGTGAGCGAGAGCATAACAGGTAGTGATGGGATGCCAGGCAGCCAGTCGCACTCAAGATGTCAGGCATACATGAAGAGTCAACTGATATGAAATGAAGCTAAGTGTGTGTGTGTTTCAGTGTCAGTCTGCAAAAAAGTCAGTGTGTGTGCGCGCCTGCATGGAGCGTGTGTGAAGGTAGTGGGGACTGTGTAGATGTATTACTTTACCTTAATAAACAGACGCAAGACTTTGATGGTGACAAACAGACCACAGCTTAATATCTATAAGTATAAAATACATTACATAATGTAACCATAACATTCCAACTTCCACGCCCTTGTCAACCATTCCTGCTGATCATTGGCACTTGCCTTCCCCCTTTGTCCTATACACCAAACAGGCCCCACAACTGGCCTAATATTAACTGTGCTAACCACTGGACTGCCTCTGTGGGCACATCCAGGGTTGTATTTACCACAAGGCATTTGCCTAGGGTGGCACTTTCAGGAGGGTTGCCAAACAAAATGCCAGCCCAAGCTCCCAGACAAATGCCTTGTTTGCCTCGTGTTCTGGGGCTGTCCACCTTACTGTGAGTGTAGCTGTCAGTGTGTCTGAGTGAGAATGGGTGTGCATGTTATTTTATGTGTATCTGAGTGTGTGTGCCCGTCAGTGAGTGGGTGTGTCAGTCAGTGAATGTGTGTTGGTTAAACTGTGTGCCAATGACTGTCACTGAGTGTATATCAGTGCATGTATCAAGAGGGCATGTCTGTCACTCCAAAAAAAAAAAAAAAAATGGCCTTGACACGAATTAGGGGGGCAAATTTAGATTTTGGGGTGCCCAAATTTAGTCGTGCCTAGGGTAGCACAAGTCCAAAATACACCACTGGGCACGTGCCTTACCCATAAGCATAACAGGTTAGAGGAGGGATCAGCCCCAATCTTTTCCACTGGTCCAACCCTGATTGACAAGGGACCTTTTCCACCTTACGCTGTGACCAAAAAAAATAAAAAAATAAAAATCCATGATAGAAACCACCATAAGCCATAACACAAAAGGGAGAGTGGGAAGCGGTTCCAAGCTGGGATTAAGATGGCTGGGTCCCTTACAGAAAATGGCATATATAAATAAACCACCCCTTACCCACAGACAAGACCGCCCCTGCCCTGATTCTACACTCCCCCTCACTCACACTTGTTCCGTTCTTCAGGAACTAACAGGTCTTTTATTTACACAGTGATCGGGTCTCACACTGGACTAGTGTTCAAAAGGGTATGAGCCCAGAGCATAGTTTGCACAGGCTATTTATTGACAATAGCCACACACTCTTAGACCAATCCGTGAACAGGATAACTTAATATGGGCAGACCATATGACTCCTTTTAAGGACAAAGGAATGTGACTACAGTTGATGCACATGCTCAGTACATTGATGACAGTATCTTAGCTACATGTAGCTGATACAACAAGCATCTGTACTTGTTTATGCTGTAGTAGATAATTTACTGCAAACCAATTAGTTTGAATGACTATCTGTTCCTGTCCAAATTAAAGATAATAAAGTTGCGTGCACGCAGAAGTAAATTCACACTGAGACACAAAGTTCAGGGTAATGAAAGAACTTCGGAGAAGTTTAATGGCTTCTGACAGAAAATGAGTGCGCAGACCCTTTTAAAGGCATTATTACATCATTGAAGAAAATCAAGATATATAGACAAATAGACATTGTTAATTGGCTTAGGTGCTAAGATGTTAGTAAAATGCCCTCCCCATTCTTAGGTCACTATCCACGTCATTTTTAACTCCTCCAGGTTTTAGCGCCATTTTGCTAACATGAGGAGCTCACTCGACGGGAGGGGCCTTTTGGCAGCTATCCATTTAGAGTGTAGTCTGGCACTGTTAGTTTCTCAAGGTTAGGTTTCAAGGCTTTTAGTAAATACACATTTTATCAAAGCTATTTCTTGCTGACATGCAAATTCTATGTTCTATAGACAAGGCTTTCTTGTAAAACTATGGGGGCCTCTTAGAGGTATAGCAAGAGGATTTAAAGGGGCCTTACAGATTTATAGAGGCCTAATAATTCTACAACAATGCCACATGGAGATTTCAGGCCTACTAAGTTTTGAACCATGTTGAAATCCCACCACACTTTTGCTTCAGTTTTTCCATTTTAAATTTAGTTTGCAAAATATTAGCATTTTAAATAAAGTTTTAACTAAGCTGATGGCCATCCTTTAGTCAGAATTGTGACTACTTAATAGTATTGCAAACCACAGTTGAGCACAAAACTATAGCACCATTATCCAGCCTGAGCTGACCAAGCAAGTCACCAGCATGTGCTCCAAGGAGAGCTCCTGAGACTGTCAGCAAAGTCTACAGCAACATTGGATCGTGGAACCTTCATCTATTTAGTCTTAACCGCTTCAGTTTGCTGGTTCTATACTTTTAGACAAAGTTTGTCTGTGTTGATCCTAATGTCTGTCTCACATTTATTGCACCAACATGTGCTTATATAAAAGGTTAAGTGCCTTTTTGGTCCCTCTCATTTGAAGTGGAATATGTTTAAAAGTACATAAGACACAGCAATAGTGTGTATTACTTGTGCAGCTAAAGAAAAGTAGTAAAAAAAAAAAAAAAGTTACTTTGTCTTTATTTTCAGACATAGGTCTAGGACCTCACTACAGAGGTTGTGGCCTACATCTCCCATAATTTTCTGTTATATTACTGGCAAATCATGGGATGTGTAGTTCACATCTGGAGTGCTGAAGGTTACGGACCCCTGCTCGAGTATCATAGGGCCTCAATTTTCTCAGTTTATTGTTTGGTCTTTCCCCTCCAACACCTTTGCTGACATTGTAAAATAAAAATTAAAAATGAAGGCATCAATTTATAGGGATATATAAATTATGCTCAACGCTTTTCCCTCCTCAAAAGTGTAGAGACCCATATGCAGGGACGTATCTTCCACAAGGCAAACAAGGGATCTGACTGGGCATTTGGGGGGGTGGCCTTTTTGCCTCCCCCAAATGCCCAGGCAGATCCTTGTTTGCCTCATGTCCTGGGGCTCAAGAGCTGGCAGTGAGGGAGCACTCACCTGAGCTCTTCCTGCACCGCTTAATGAAGCCAGAATAGGACGTCACTAAGCAGAGTGCGAGGAAGCTTCAAGTTCCCTCACCGCCTACTCTGCTTATCCGGCCCCCCTGCCTGCCCACACAGCAGCCCCACTGGGCTGCAGGTAAGCAATCCATGCCAGCTCTCCCAGGGAGGCTGGGTGGATTTCAAATAAACTTCAATCATGTGAGCAAGCATCGGTCAGTCAAAGTGCAGCCTTGACAGGAAGGGGTGGAGAAAGTTTAAATTGTGGTGCCCAAGCACGGTCCTGCCTAGGGCAGCACAAATCCTAAATACACCACTGCCCACATACTAGGTGTAATCAAACTTTTACTGGCTTTCCCTTTACTGCCAAAATGTAACCAAGAATTACCAACAAGACAAGTATTTTTCCAAGTTTATTACAAAAAGTAATGATCGTTTTAGTGCTCATTGTGCCATGTGTTGTGCATTCCATTTAAAAATAACGTGCAAGCAAACACCAAGACCTATCACTGCAGTAATTACAAGGGCAGGGAGGAGTCCGATTGTCAGGTGTTCCAGGAGATTGGTTTCACCTATGGAATAGGAAATGTTTCATCATAATCTTGGACCAGCAGAAGGTGCACAAGTACAATGGGGAGGCAGGCAATGTGGGATCTTTATTGCAACTTGACCCATGGGAAGCCATGTAATACAGAGCCAATGTATATTACAGGAAGGAGTCAGTTTGAGCACACATTTGTTAAGTTAGTGGACAGAATACACTTCTAGAGTCACTGCATAGTTTGTACCCCACAAAAATAAGATACCTTGATATTTTACTGAAGCTGCTCGAGCTGTAAATAGGACTGGACCAGGAAGGCTGACAAAGGATGCATCTTTTAAGACATGTTGCTCATCTAGTTTAAAGAGAAAGTTACAGGTTAAGCCTAGTGTATGACAAGATATACAGACAATTCCTAATAGGCAGATCACTAAAAAGGAAATTATCAACCACCGAAGATCTGTAGCAGGGCAGAAAGTGAGTCAGCTTTGTTTGGATCAAGGTATGTGGAGTTGAAACCTAGGGAGCACTTTCTCCCCCACTAGAGGGCACATAAGACTCACTAGAAAATAGAATACAAGGGAGTTCACGGCAAAGCATTGTAGGAAGGTGTAGGCTGTACTGAAAGCTTCCAATACTTACCCCTCTTTTTCTTGGATACTGGACACCTTTTGGTACAGAGGGAAGAGTCTGGGTTCAGAGTATTGCATATTAAAGCACTGCAGTGAAAGTAGATCTACAGGAAACACATACATTAGAGACTAGATGGAGATTTACATAAGCCACAGCTTTAATACCATCTCTCATGTATTAGAAAGAGCACATTAAACAGCAGACTCCCTAAACGGGGAATAATAAGTACACCCCACAGTAAAGCTGAAGACAAGACGTTGAGCTAGAAGGCTTTCCCCCGTGGGATGTGATTGTGTGAGGGGAGAGACCCGGTTTAGGCAGGGTCACTTTAACCCCTTTCATTATGCAGTCCTGCAGCCAAGGGACAGTGTATTTGACACTCGTGAGCCTTTATTCTGGGTCCAATTCTTAGCTTAAATAATTCAGACTGATTGCAAACAGACAATCCTATATTGCACACAACGGAAGCCTTTGTTTAAATTTAGTCCATTTGTGGTTATGTTTGTCTTTATGCCTCACCACATGGCGCTCCGATTCTCTCCATGGGCTCCTATTAGTGTTTTTTATTAAAAAAATAAAAATAAAAAAAAACTGCTTGTACATCACAAGCCAATAATGGGTTTAAACACGGATGAATGTGGTCTGAGATGCAGTACTGGAGAGACTAAATAGGGTGATTAGCACCCTCAGAGTTGTAGCCATACACCTGACAGGACAAAGGTTGTAGGCACTTGCATGCCATTTGATGGTCTGTCAACTAGTCAGTCCCCTGGATTGCATTATAGGTTTATTCACCAAGTGAAAACAGATAGGAACCCAAAGTGAATCTTAGGCTACAGTGGCACTAAAGTTTGAAATTTAAATTTTAGCATATAAAACACTTGATAACCTTTACTAGAAAAGTTAAATTCATTGCATTCTTAAACAAAAGAATTTGACAGATACTCTCTGCTCAGAACCCCCATTTTATTTTTGGGGGGGTTAGGTCAGCTAGCGTGAGAAAACTAAGGTTAGGAGAGTTCTATGCAGGATGATCTGTTATCAATTTTGATAGCGTGCAACAAATACATCCCTGCAGCATTTAGTTTTAAAAACACCAAATTAAATTTTTTTGTTAGACCACCACTTACCAAGCTAGTTGAGGCCTGCCCACCAGTCACAAAAGCAAAAGCTTTCACTTCAAATCTTTTCCTATGATTTGGTAGAGATACTCCGAGAACAGGATGGAATACAGTTTGAAAGTTATCTCTAACTTCTTGACAGCTACAAAATGGATGAGAGAAAAAAAATAAAAATCTGGTTGAAGCTTCTAAAGGCACAGATTGACATGGTAATTTCATATTCACTGAGATCCCACAACAGGTTGTACCCAACTGCTCTGAACACTTACCCATCTACAACCACATTCCACTGAGGTACAGCAGTTGGGTCTAGAGACATTGTTGCCCAACAGTCATTTAGCACCAGTTCAATATTTGGGTCATTACGGTTTAAAACGCTTATTTCGAAGTAGAGGGGATCTCTCAGGATTTTCATAACTGGATACTGGCTAGCACCATAGGCAATGCCAAAGGAGTCATCTAAAATAGATTTATATAGGTCAGTAGATCTAAAATTTTATAAGATGGGATTTAGATTTTTTTTTTTGGTGGTGATAGCAACGTACCTTTGAAAAGCTCAAGTTTAAAAACAAGAGGACCCTGACCTATTGTAGGCAAAGGAGGTGGAAGAGTCCCAACATTTACAATCAAGTTTGTATTGGCAGTTGGATTGTAATAACATCGGACAGTAATTCTGAAAGAAAGATTGTATATTTCACATACATGACCTTATTAAAAAAAATTGATTCCTATTACAGCAGACTGAACATTGTAAGATTGGTTTATATGGAATATGTTAATCCCTATAGGGAGTAGAATTCAGTTTAACAATATAGTTTTAACTGGTAAAATTTAAAACAGTTTTACGGTAGGATTCTCTGTATTACAGGAGATACAGCTACATGTGATTAAATCTAGACAAACATACCTTAATTCACTATCCCGGGAAATTTGTCTGGGAGGGAAGTCTTTCCAGAGAGCATGAGCCTCATTTTCATAATATATTTTACCATCTACAAACTGAAAATATCAAATTGTGAGAGTCTGCACATGTGCACACATTTAACATAAGGGTTATTAAACTTACCATTTTTCTAGTCCCACAACGGTTCAGTGGTACTTTGTAGACAAGACTACTAGTCTTCCTCATTGGAAGACATGTGCCATCGCCAAAGACTACAGTGTCCAAGTTAATCTTTGGTTGCGTAAAGCCTTCAGCAATCTCAAACATCATGGAACCATTTTTCGTGCAGCTTGATACTAAGAGATAACCTAGTTAGATTTAATTAGGTTAGTGTCAAGGCATTCAAAAGTTACTAGACTTACTTGATGGTGATGAAGCTACTGAACATTTTGGAGTCAGTTGCATCGGAACAGTTAGTTCTCCTAACTGGAAGGTCAAGATGAGTGACGATAAGGAGTACCAGTGAGTGCCATCAATAATATCATCCTAAGAAGTAAAAAAAATGTTACTTTGTCCTTCTAATGCTGCTTTTACACAAAAAAGTTGTACTAACCATACAAGTAATTGCATATTACTTTATACAATTACATTAGATGGTATAATGCCTTTTGACAGCAACATATTTGCAAAAGAAAGTTATTTTAAGTGACAATATATCCACATTCATGTAAAAAAAGCTTTTAAAATCTATTCACAGAATAAAATCCATGTCAATACATGCTATCCACCCCCCTTGCATGCAAGTTCAGTCTGGCTGATCAACACCCTTATTCTCCATTAGGGTCCTCAGCCCTAGTTATTGTCCCCACACCACAAGCTTGGTGGAGATACAAGGAGCTCTGTGACAAAAAAAAAAAAAAAAAAACTCCCACAATGTTTCTAGTAACCAGCAATTCCCAATAGTGGAACTGAGCAGACGGGCTCTAGAGAGCTCTGTGCTAGACTGATTATGGAAGAAGAGGGGTACCCACCTGACAGCAAGTCAGTCCAACAGTTGGGGGGAGGGGGGACAAAAGGTGAAAAAACCTGAGAGCAGATAGAGGCCCGATAAACTGAAGTTACTGCGAGGTAATCAAATCACCATGGGACAAAATGGTGGTTAAGACAAATCCTCCTGCTTCTCAGAGGAGAGAAAAAAAAAAAAAATAAAAAAAAAAATAAGTCTTCCGACCCAGGTGAGGGAGCTGCCGCTCAACTACGGAAGTCACACTACACCTCCCACAAGGTAACTTGTCAAGGCAGACCAACTGAAAAGAATGCTGGCAGAGCTACGGGTGAATATTGCAGCCAACATGGCCTTCGTAAAATATGCTACCTTCTGGAGGCCTCAACTACTCAAAACTCTAGAACAACCTCCCTGGAGAATCAAATCTTAGCACTCCAGACACAATGGGTCATCACTGACAATGTAGATACCACCGATCAGAGACTGTGCTACAATCTGAAAATACATGGTAGTCTGGAGAATTGTAAACTAGTGGATTGTTTTGAATACTCTATTGGTGGTTATATTTCTATCCACTTTCTATGTAGAGAATCACTTAAATATATAGTTTTAGTGAACCTAGCTAATTTAAGCAATATTTTTGCTATATTGGTCATTTTGCAATGACCCACACAAACCATCAGCTTTGTTACCTTTAGGGAATTTCTCTTGATATATAGATGAAGACCATTCAGACTGTCTAAAGTTATTCCGTACTGTTGAAGTGCTTGGGTATCCAGTGGGATGTCCATTCCATGCAAGTTGATACTGGTTAGGATCCCACCAAATGGTGGAATCACAAAGATCATGTGTGTTTCGTTACAGGTGGGGGGACCTACCAGACAAAAACCCATGAGCTGTAAAAAAGTTAGCACATTGTATAAGCTTAAGGAAGAGAATCACTTACTTCTAACACAAACCATTGGGACATCAACAACAATCTTTGGAGCACCAAATCTAGAACTCAGACGAACAGCTCCAACATACAAATTCTGATTTTCCATCTGGCAAAGGGAAGACAGTTTTGGACAATTATTCCAGGTCTTATTTAGTGCAGAACATACAATAGTCCCTACCTGACAGACTCTCCTTAAGATGGAAGAGAGAGTTTGCTATACATTTCTGCTGGCATTTTATCCCAGTTTTGCACACTTTCAAAACAAGGAAGCATGCGCCACATGAAACTAAAGTTTACCTAGTTTGACATTCAGTGACTCTAGAATGGGGTACTGATACAAACTGAGGGGGAAGCAAAGTTGTCTTCAACTATACTTTGCTGTAGTTCAATCTTGCGTGCAAGACCTAGTACCATATGCAACTATTGAGTACCAGGCATTTTATATCTCACTTTGATTCTCTCAGGAGCCTGTGCATAGCATTCACTAGAGTGAAGATTGCTTTGAATTCAAGAGGGAATTTTAGCTTTAAAGGACCACTCTAGGCACCCAGGCCACTTCAGCATAATGAAGTGGTCTGGGTGCCAAGTCCCTTTAGGATTAACCCTTTCTTCTATAAAGATAGGGTTAATCCAGCCTCTAGGGGCTGTCTCATTGACAGCCGCTAGAGGCGTTTGCGTGCTTCTCACTGAAAAAAAAAAAAAAAAAAGTGAAAAGACGCCAGCGTTCATAGAAAAACATTGTTAATGCTTTCCTATGAGACTGGCTAAATGTGTGTGCAGCTCCTGCTGTGCATGAGCATTCAGCCGAAGAGGAGGAGGCGGGGAGCTCCCCGCCCAGCGCTGGAGAAAGGTGTTTAACCCTTTCCTCTCCCCAGAGCCTGGCAGGAGGGGGACCCTGAGGGTGGGGCACCCTCAGGGCACTAGTGTACCAGGAAAACGAGTGTTTCCTGGCACTATAGTGGTCCTTTAAAGCAAACTGAAAGTTTGTTATTTTGGCCCAAGTTTTCATGTTCTCACTTTAGTGAATAACTGAATGTATTAACAGATACAGGTTAAGATAAAATGCAGGAGTGGGAAGGTTTAGTCTAACAAAGCCAACTACAGATTTAGGCAAGTTTTCCATTTTTAATTGGCATTGGAATTGTAATCACAGTTTAGTGAAAGTGTTTTGTTAGTGTCAGTATAGCAACTTCAAATTGTCATTTTGAGATGAGATCCATTTTGTATTTGTAGTTACCTTGTATATTTGGAGGCCAGACGCATTGAAGAAAGCTTTGATTACCAAGAAGTCAGGTTCAGCTTTCAGAACATAACCCATCTGCCTTGCCTGGCCTGTAGTGACTGTCACGTAGCGTGTCCCATCATAAATTCCTATGTCCCAGAAGAGTTTTGATGGAATACTTTGTACAGCCTGTGATATCTAATCAAGATAAGTTTGTGTCAGTTACTAAATGTTATTTGATATTATGGAGTGAGCAGATAGCCAGACATCTGTTGTGCCAAGGCAAGATTCATAGTGTTCACTTACCTCCCCGTCAAATTGAGGAAGTGTCCTTGGAAACTTGATCTGAATAAGCATAAAGAGAGGAGGAAAAGTTCAGTAGATCTTTAGGCTCAGAGGACACATTGACCATTAAAAACAAAATAAAGATGTGATAGTGAACTTGAAGATGTAGTTACCATCATGAAGTCCTGAGTGCAGTTTACTACTGTCCCTTCTATTGCCTCATCAGCCTGCAAGTCGTTGCAGACTACCCTGTATGTGACTCTCTCCTGTCCAGTAAAGTCCTTGAAGGCTATATGCAAGACACGCCTTTCCAACTACAGAGAACAGTGAGCATATTAAGACATTTTTAGAGTAGTTTTATTGGTGGAATGGCTTTTAATGTCTACCCCAATAGATGAAACCCAAGTTCGTACATAGCCATGCATAGAAGTGTGGGAGTATGCAATGTTATTTCATCCCTTTAGCCAAACTCTGGCCCTTCAGATGTTGCACTACAACTCCTATGGTTTTCTGGCTGTATTTTTTCCATATTCAAAGAATCATAGGAATTTTAGTTCCTGGAGTGCCAGAGTTCAGAAAACCCTGCCATAGACCAAGTTTTTTTTTTGGGACCCTCATTAAGTACAGACAGCATCCATAAGGTGGTGCTACTAGACTGCAGGTGTCTCTTCTCTTCCTCTAGAAAGAAACCCCACACACCTTTGAACCCATCCCAGAAAGCAAGGCTGTGGGTCCTGCTATTTGAGTTCTAATACATTGTAAGAATGACAGGCCTGCACTTTTAAAGTGTTCAAAGAGACCTTGTACACTCACAATTAACTGTTCACAATAGTTATAGGGACACCAAAAACCACTTCATCTTAAAGTATTTTTCTGCATAGACCCAGTCCAGACACAACCACAAGAGACTCTGGGAGCTCTGAAACAATTAAGATCTCACAGGAGCCTAGACAGAATTTTGAAAGGGTCTTGGATTGCTTGGTGCGCAAGTCAGGGACATTCAACTAGATCCTTTTTGCCATATTTGGACTAAGTTATCTACAGTTCTTTGGGAGCAGGAAACATTTCTGTTCTAGTAATTTTAGACTTGCCTCATGTTCAATACAGTTTTCAGGAATGTTTGCAACTTTACCATCCATGAAAACATCACAGCCTGCAAAGTCATCTCCAGCAAGATCTATGAGATAGTGGAAGAGAAGAAAAAAAAAAAATTATATAAATCCGGAAGGGTCAGACAAGACCAATAGAGACACCCATTGAGATCAGGGTTAGTCACTTAAGTGAGAACACAAGGTGAATGTCAAGTCTGCAAGCATAGCTTCAGCTATTTTGATTTTAATTTGTCCACAAGTTTAAAGTTCAGTTTTATTTCACCTCAAGTTCTCACTTTAGTTAGTAAACCTGCATCAAAACAGTCTTACCTACAACATGGAGACTCCTCCATTGTGTCAGGCGAATTCCTTTGGGTTTTTGAATTTGCAGTCCATCGTTACGGCAGGAAACAGATCCTAGAATGATATTGTGCCAGAATTTCAGCTGTCACATACTAGCCTGGCTTAAATAAATGCTGAAAATGTGTGTATACTTCATGTCAACTATAAAACTAATTCACATCACTTGTGTTTGTTAGAGACAGAATGATACTGAATAATGCAAAACCATCCTTGTGTAGAAGTTACTAGCTCATATGCAGTGTGGTTATTTTATAATCTGCATACACTTTCAGTTGAGGGGACGGGAGGGGGACAGGACACAGGGTAGAGTCCACCAAGGGGCAGGGGAGATGACTAATGTACTGGAGGGAACATCACCAAAAGGTCAGGAATGGAGGAGAGAGCACAAAATTTTTTTTTTTAAATAGTCCCCCCTCAGCCCCTATCCTACTCCACAAACACTCTTTTACACTACACAAATTGGTATCCCTATACACTACATGTGAGCGAACTCACGGGTGGACTTTTAGGCACACTCCTGGTCAGGCCCTTGAGCTGTGCAAGTGGCCCCTAAAATTGGAGCTTCTTCCTGTACATTAATTGTGAGCACTGTTACAGTCTCCAGAGTCTTCTACACCAGACTGCAGCCTGTGCCCATCATCTGGTGGTAAGTAGGCAAGATAATATATTAACACATTAGTGGCACTAATCTCCAATTTACCTCACATTAAAGGGCCACTATAGTCACCAGAATCAGCTTAATGTAGTGGTTCTGGTTTCTATAGCCTGTGCCTGCAGGCTTTTTAGTGTAAACACACTGCCTTTTCAGATAAGACACTTTGTGCAGAACTGGCATTGGCCCATATGGCAAATTAATGAGAGGGGCAGCAATTTGCACCAAACCTACATACAAGTAAATATCTGCTTTCAAATTGAAAAAAATATAAAAATAAAAACCACAAAAACTCACACCAAACTATACTTCCAATCAAGGCTTATAAAACACTGCTCAGTGCTAAATACAACCATGCAAACATGTACGACAGATGGGGATCTAACTTTTCATGCTTGCAATGGATACCACTGCCAGGAACCCTTCAGTTATCTTGAAGAAATGCAAGAGTTTCACAAAATCCTGTTGAACTGCACAGATAACCTGACAGCACAAAAAAGCCAACTTGAGTTATTTTAAACAGGATAACGGTTCACTAGTAGTATACATAATTAAAGGGACAATATAGGCATCCAGAACACTTCCATTCAGTGGAGTGGTTTGGGTGGCATGTCCCCTACATGTTAACCCAATGTTTAAAGTTACAATTCTGCTGGAAGCTAGAACTGCAACAGAGAAGGTAAATAAAATGGCTGTTTTGCGCCTTACAGCTGGTGTCCAGGAACCGATCATGCAAATAATCACTACAGCGTTAGTCTTGTAAGCCAAGTGCTATAGTGTTCCTTTAATAGCAGAGCATGTACCATTTTATGATGTGATTACCTGGGAAATCCAGAGTCTTTGCAGCATCAGAAAGCTTACACAGTAAGCAAATAAGCAGTAGACACCTACAACAATATAAAAAAAAATAAAAAAATAAAAAAAAAATAATACGCTCAAATCCAATAGTTAAAGAAAAGAAATTCTGAGGAAGAAAGAGATAAAAAGCAAATTAGTTAACATATCTGCCACAAGATTTACCAGGTGCCAAGAACACAGTTTGACATCAACTTGGGCTTCATTGAGCCACCTAAAGAATGAGCCATCTGTAAAAATCCAAACACAGGGCTCAAGGCTGGTTAGTATTCCTCCCACCTCATGAGAAACATAACACTCCCACTCGAATACCTTTAATTTATATAATGTATAACACTTGGCTAAGCCAGCAACTGATTTGCAGTTAATTGAATTAACCATTTCTCACTAGTCATTCTAATTACACATATTCTCGGTTATTCACTAAACTCAGAATTCTAGAGAATTGAATCAAAATTGCAAAAATGAGGCTAAAAGAGCTGATTTGAAAATATTCAGTTTTAGTACCAGCTTGGCGATTTAAAACTCAATTTTAACATTTAAATTGCTTAAATCCAGAATTTAATGATTAACTCTATGATCTTCCCTGCAACAAATCCAACAGCTATAAAAGGGATTATTCACCAAACTCTGACTTTTGTTGATTCAAATCAGAAAGGCAAAACTTGGGAAAAAATAGGTCATCTGAAACTTTAGCCTAAACATGCCTTTTGGATTTCAATTTGGAGTTTAATGAATAACATCCAAATGAATTAAACATTTTGCATTGAAGTAATGGGTCATTATAAAAAGGTATGCTTAAAATTGTCGTATTCACCTTCACGTTTGCGCCAGTTTGGTGTGCATGTGGCCTTTTCTTAGGTGTAATACTTTTACTCCTTTTTGTATTAGTGACATTACTTTTTAGTCTTTTCTGTAGAACAAAAATATAATTTGTCTTTCTATCACATTTAATTTCTCCTTCAGATTTTTTGTTCCTTTGTTATGCCTCTAGATGATTTTTACCATTGATAACAATCACAAAAAGAGGTACAGCAGGTGTAACGGAGCACCTGTAACCAGAGTGGTACCACCGCTGTGGTCTCTCCCAGGTCCCTTAGTGGAGTAGGAAGTAGTGATTTTAACTTCCATATATCCCAACATCAGTCTAGACTTGATAAAAGGTAAAACAACTTGTTTTATTAGGCAAAAGCATACACATTTATGCATCAGTTACAAAACAATACATTAACGTTGAAAATATCCAAAAAAAACAAAACAATCTAATAAATTAGGAAGCTCAGATACAGGCCTGGAAATAGGATCCCAGCACAATAGGTAGTAGGGGGCTCCCCGATGCAGAGAATTGCTTCAGATGCATCACACCACCACTTGTTCCTGCTTTGTTTTCCTTTCTTTAAAGGGGCAGGACAGATTTTATTTGCAAAATATCTACATTTTTTTTTAATGATCTTGCAAGTTGCAAGTTCTCCCAGTGATAGGATTAACTCTCTATATTTGTACTGCACTGATGTCTTATAGATATCACCCATATTTGTTTGTCGTTCTTTAAGCCAGCGAGATTCGGTCTATTTATTCTCTCAAGGAAGAGGCTTCAGGAACTCACTGTGTTCAACTTAAAGAATTTTTATTGGATAATCATGTGCACAGCAACGTTGCGACCTCCACTGAGGTCTTTGTCAAACGGGCACAATAAAACTGCTTTCAGTTAAACATAGTGAGTGCCTGAAACCTCTTTCTTGATATATACTCCATGTAAGAGATGTGTTGGCCCTGGCTCAGTTAAGCACCCTGTTGTTCTCTGGATGAGTGCAATCCCTCTTCTTTTTTTGAGTATTTACTCTCTCAACACTGGGAGATATAAACTTTGTGCAGGGAGATTGGTGGGTCACTAGAGTGCATTTCAGAATGATGCTCAACAGTCCCGGGCCTGTCCTGATTTCGGGATTATGTCCCATTTTCCCAGGTTTGGTCCTTGGTCTGACATCTGGAGATACCAATGAGCTGTCCCCACCCAGCACGGCTCGAGTGCATCTTTAGACATACCGCCATTGTATCGAGAGCACTTAGACCATGCAGAGAGCACTTCAGTAATGCTACGAGTGGGCTGCCAAGGGAAGCTGTAGTCAGCCGGTGAGAAATCACTTCAGACTGACACTCCTCTTCTTTGGGCAGTCCTGCCCCCTTTCAGGCAAGTCCACCTATTGTGGGTGTCACCAGTAATGCAAGTGGTGTCACTGGCACACTCCTTCATGCCAACCCATCTCCTTTGCCATCCCAGGCAAACATTCATACCACCCAGTGCTATAAGGTATGTGTCAGTAGTGAGCTAAGAGGTGGTTCCTTCCAATCAACCTGGAGTGCTGATATGTAGCATCCACTGGCCAGCCCACTCAGGGTTGCCATTGAACAGAAGTTGCTGAAACATTTTCCCATTGGCTTAATTCACTGAGATAAGTTTGCTCTGAAATTAGTCTGCGTTTACTGGGAGAAACATAGAAACATAGAATGTGACGGCAGATAAGAACCATTCGGACCATCTAGTCTGCCCAATTTTATTTAAATACTTTCATTATTCCCTAGCCTTACCTTATAGTTAGGATAGCCTTATGCATATCCCACGCATGCTTAAACTCCTTTACTGTGTTAAACTCTACCACTTCACCTGGAAAACTATTCCATGCATCCACTACCCTCTCAGTAAAGTAATACTTCCTGATATTATTTTTAAACCTTTGTCCCTCTAATTTAAGACTATGTCCTCTTGTTGTGGTAGTTTTTCTTCTTTAAAATATAGTCTCCTACTTTACTGTGTTGATTCCCTTTATGTATTTAAATGTTTCTATCATATCCCCCCTGTCTCGTCTTTCCTCCAACCTATACACGTTAAGATCCTTTAACCTTTCCTGGTAAGTTTTATCCTGCAATCCATGAACCAGTTTAGTAGTCCTTCTCTGAACTCTCTCTAAGGCAGTGTTTCCCAACCCAGTCCTCAAGGCACACCTACCAGTCCAGGATTTAGGGATTACCCAGTTGTGTCTAAGGTGTTTTTTTTTCTTCTTTGTAAAAACACCTTAGACACAACTGGGTAATCCCTAAATCCTGGACTGGTAGGTGTGCCTTGAGGACTGGGTTGGGAAACACTGCTCTAAGGTATCAATATCCTTCTGAAGATACGGTCTCCAGTACTGTGTACAATACTCCAAGTGAGGTCTCACCAGTGTTCTGTACAATGACATTAGCACTTCCCTCTTTCTACTGCTAATACCTCTCCCTATACAACCAAGCATTCTGCTAGCATTTCCTGCTGCTCTATTACATTGTCTGGCTACCATTAAGTCATCAGAAATAATCACCCCTAAATCCATTTCCTCAAATGTTAAGGTTAGGACTCGATCAAATATTCTGTACTCTGCCCAGTGTTCTGTAAAATGGCATGAGCACTTCCCTCTTTCTACTGCTAATACCTCTCCCTATGCAACCAAGCATCAAGGGAAAAAAATCTGGAGCGTTTATTACAGTTGTTTACAAACCTCTGCCTATCCAAGTTTGGAACCCCAATATATTTGTCCGTAGGGCAAAAATATATCCCCCTTTTTATAAGAAACCTTTATAAAACAGCCTTAACATCAATGTAACACTGCAGATGTACCTTATAATAATATACATATACCTCATTCAAATTGCAGTATAATCAATATACATTGATAGGGAGGGAGGGTAGACCATATCTAAGGAAGGAGCTCAACAGTATACATTCTCAGTATTCAGTCTTGGTTTTATAGTCTCTAAATATCATGGTTAGCAAGGTCTTTTTTATTACAAAGATCTGAAGATCTGCATATTGTCTAAGTAAGTTATACGTATACCTTTGGTTCCTGACAAATGCGCAATTATATTTCTTTTAAAACATCTAAAAAGCAGATGTGCATGAAATGCCAAGCCAATTGGATAAATATAAGCAGTAGTAGATGCTCTAAAAGTTGCTAATTGGGATCTCTGCATTCCCCAAATGACATAAATAGGGAGCTGGAAGAAGCATTAGTGGTTACAAACGCTTGCTTATTAAACCATGGCTGAACAAATGTATAATGATCAAAAAGAATCTCATACTTTGAACTAAGCTACCAGCTCACATATACAAATCAATAATAAATAGATGTATGTATTATGCACATCTCTACCAAATAAAGCAGCGGAAAATAAAGTTCAAATTATCGTCCTCCAACTTTTGTTCTTGTCGTATAAAATAAGCTATTTATTTGCATATCTCCTAAAATGTCATAAGTTTGAGGGCAAAAGGAGGGGAGAGTGGGGGGGGGGAGCAATGCTACAGACCAGCATTACAGAATGTCCATCAAAAAAGGCTTGGCAGCCAGCCAATCAGAGTTGGACATTTCATGGAATTCTATAACAGTGGTCATTTCTGGGTATAAATTATTTAAAGCCCTTTCTAATGTCACGATTAGATTCCGGTTTACTTATTAAAGTGAAAATTGATGGGAAGTCAAATTCACATTTAAAATATAGTCCAAAGCAACCAAATTGAAGAATACAGTTCTGTTTTAGATCAGCTATTTTGGCCTTAAATTTGAAATTCACTTTTAATTTACTTTGAGTTCCCAGCAACGCACAGTTTAGTGAATAACTCTGTCTTGTCTCACGGATAAGAATGTAAATAGAGAAAGTGTTGTAAATAAGCGAGGGAGGTTAAGAGAAGAGAGAAGAGAGCAAATCATTTTTATAAGAAAGCAGGTCGGATTTCTTATTTTTAAAGGGGAACTGTCATATCCAAAGTTTATTTTCAATATTATGTTTATTTATCCCTACACTTTAAGGAACACTATAGGGTCAGGAATACAAACATGCATTTCTGACCCTACAGTGCTAAAAACACTATTAAGGTGGCCGGCCCCCCTTGCCCACATTAACAACGTTTTAAACAGCAACTGAATGAATACTTGCAAAAACATAATATTCAGGGATATAATTTTCAATTAGTGGGGTAATAGCTTCTTGATCCAAGGGTAAATCTGACTGCCATTCTGGGATCAAGAAGGAATTTTTTTTCTAGTTTGTTGCAAAATTTGAAAGTGCTTTAAACTAGGGTTTTTGCCTTATTTTTGATCAACATCAAAAACATATGGGAGAAAGGCTGAACTTAATGGACGCATATCTCTTTTCAGCTATTTAACTATGTAACTATGTGAATAGAGGCTGCATAAGGGTTATAGTGTGTGTTTAGAAATATGAAGGCTGTAGGGTGTGTGGTAGAAT